TACAAAGATTAAAAACCAATCACAGATTAAATGTTTCTTATAGCCAAAGCTACAAAAATCCTTTCAAAATAATTTATAGCATAATTTATAGTTGATATGAGTTGGGCACATTTCATATGTTTGGCACGAACAGCCAAACATCCTCCAGAATGAGTATCTGAAGTCTCATATGGCTACCACTAGCCTGTTCCTCAGCTTCAAGTTGTAAAACTTAGGTACCTGGGCTTTTTTCTAATACTAGTATGAATTCATTATTTATACATAAATGTTTTGTTCATCAGTAGTTTGATGTGAAATACGTGAAGGTAGCTTTTTTCCCCTTTTAGTCAGGAAGCCAGTTGTCTCCATTCCTTTTAAACTTTTCCCCACTGGATTGAAATGTTACCTTTTTCATAAACTATATTTTCACAATGTATGTGTCTTTGGTTACTTGTTAAATGGAAGAACCAATTCCTGCTTATAAGTAAATGCAGCTTGGTTGTCAGTACTCTTTCAAAAGCTGTTTGGGGTGGGAGACGTTTTTGGTGGAAAACACTGGCGTTCCCTGCTAAGTGGAGGGGAGGGTGAAGGCGCATACATACTGCTTGTTTCGAGAGAGAGAACGAGTACATGCCACGGAGAGGAGCAGGCAAGTGCCTGGAGCTCAGGGAGCAGCACTGCTACGTCCGGCAGAGAGCACTGAAGAGGCTTGATGCAGTGGCAGACACTAGAGTTGAGTCTTGAAGTAGGGACAGGTGTGGGAGGCACTTCAAGCTGCAGAAGTGTTGTGAGTGAGCTGCAGTGAGCCACAATCTCACCACTGCACTCCAGCCTGGGCAACAGAGCAAGACCCCATCTCTTAAAAAACAAAATAAAACAGGGATTTCCTGCCCATCTCTGTCTTACTATAAAGCATTTCTCAGAGGCACAAAGCCCCCAGGTCACCAAACAGAATATTCAGAACTTTGGGATACATGTCCTGAAGCACGTCACTCTGGGGCCTGGATGGCAGGTTCTCTTGCAGCTTAGGTTCTTTGCAATATTTTGCCTTTAACAAAATTGAAGGAGAATCTAACCAAGTTTTGAGCTGATAGGTCATTAGAAACAATTTTTGATGATATGTTGGCCATGTGATCTTTGTCGCACATAATTCAGAAGTTCAGAATTGACAGTTCCATTAAAAAGCTTCTTCCGGCTCATCTACATATTTATGTAAATGAGGCTTCCCAATGTAAATGAGGTTTCATTTATAAAAATGAAAAACAGACTAAAATTGATTCTGAACTGTATGTTCTACATTAAGAATATTTATTTCCAGATAAGTAAACTAATTGGAAAAAATTTCTATTCATCCTTATAAGAGATACGTTTCCCAAAGTTTCTTTATTTTCTGTCTTGGATAATTATTTATCATTTTATAGTGATAATCACTGAGGATAACTTAAGCCAGGAAAAAAAAATGAACACTTAAAGACCTGTGGTTATTGGAAACGAAAGCAAAATTAAACTTTCAATTTACATACACATTTCTGTGGCAGAGTGGTAGATGAAGTGATGAGTAAAGGGTTTCTAAGCATACAAATATGTTCTATTAGGATAAAATTCTGTGGACAAAGTGGGAATAGAAATAGAAGTTCAAGGTAAAAAGGAATGATATAAAAATTCCAACTATCAAAGAAGAACTTGTTCATGATTTTTTAAGTGAATAATGGTAGGTTTAAAATTGCTGGGGTTCTTAGATTCCATTGGCAACATTAAAGGGTGATGGAAGAATTTATTTCAAAGTATCAATATTTACAATACTCCAGAAATTACATATTTTGCAGTTACTGATGTACTTTATATATTTATTCAAAAAGGTGCAAAGGAGTACATAGTTTTAAAAATTATTTTAAGGTGTAAGCAAGCAAAATACATATATATTTTTGAGACAGAGTCTTGCTGTGTCTTCCAAGCTGGAATGCAGTGGCGTGATCTTGGCTCACTGCAAACTGAGTAGCTGTGATTACAGGCGTGCGCCACCACGCCCGGTTAATTATTGTATTTTTTAGTAGAGACAAGGTTTCACCATGTTGGTCAGGCTGGTCTTGAACTCGTGACCTCGTGATGCACACACCTCGGCCTCCCAAAATGTTGGGATTACAGGCATGCGCCCCCGCACCTGGCCTAGCAAGCAAAATATTTTAAGTAGTTTGTGAAGTCAGGGAGGAAGTTTTCCTGATGTGAGAGTCATGGTCATGTTTGTGGAGGGATCATAACGATTTAGCACAGAGACAAGGATTGAATACAGAGGAGAAAAGCCCCACAAAAAATGCAGCAAAACTCCGGGGAGAAAGAAATGGGCAGGGCTGAGGAAACAAGCCGAGGATTTCAGTGACAGGAGGAAGGAAGAGAGACATGACTTTCCCTGAGATTGGAGAGAAAAGGGAGGTGAAGCTGGTGACTTTCAGCCACTGCAGGAAGAAGTAGGAGATGGAAGTATGAATGACTTTTTCTTTTCCTTTTTTTTTTTTTTTTCACCATGTTGTTCAGGCTGGTCTTGAACTCCCAACCTCAGGTGATCCTCCCGCCTTGGCCTCCAAAGTGCTTGGATTACAGGCGTGAGCCACCACACTCGGCCTTCTTTTCCTTTTAATAGTGAATAGGACACAGACATCTTTGGAGAGAGTGGGAGCTCCCACAGTTCTGAGGGAGTGTAGCAGAGGTCTTCATTTAAGGCTGTGAGGGGTAAATGAGAACATGAAAGCTGCTTTATATTCCATCTGCTCCCAAACCAGTTGAGCTGGTGAATCAGAGAGGCATTAAAGGAGTGCCACGCATTCGAAGAAATCTAGTGTAGGTCGTTTAGCACCCATTTTTAGCCTGATGAGTTTGATTTCTTAGTAAGGGAATGAGTGGATTTGGGAGAGGAGCACGAGAGCCTCAGAAGAGCAGGACTGAGGCTGCTTGGTTCATTTGTCTCTGGGTTCTTTTCTCTTTTTCTCACAGCACTTCACCTTCTAACATACAATGTAATTTATTTATTGCATCTGCCACCTTATGTAAGGTCTATGTTTCTTTCACTGATATATCAAAAGCCATTAGACCACATGACATGTAATTGGTGCTCAGTAAATATCTGCCAGTTAACATTCAATGAATGAATGAATATGTTTGTATATGACATATTCTATTGTTACTGTAGTAAACATTTGTTCACCGTAGCAAAAGTCTGGGAACAAAAAGTGAACGTTCTTCCTTAAGGAAAAAATGAATAAGCTAGGGTTTTATCCTGACCAAGGAATATACGCAACATTGTTAACAATGTGTTAGCACTATAGAAATTGGTTTGAGGCCGGGTGTGGTAGTTCACGCCTGTAATTCCAGCACTTTGGGAGGCTGAGGCGGGCAGATCACTTGAGGCCAGGAATTCGAGACCAGCCTGGCCAACATAGTGAAACCCTGTCACTTCTAAAGATACAAAATATTAGCTGGGTGTGGTGGTGCATGCCTGTCATCCCAGCTATTCAGGAGGCTGAGGCACAAGAATCACCTGAATCTGGGAGGCAGAAGTTGCAGTGAGCTGAGATTGCACCACCGCGCTTCAGCCTGGGCAATAGAGGGAAACTGTCTCACAAAAAAAAAAAAAAAAAAAAAAGCTAGGCTCGGTGACTCACCTGTAATTCCAGTGCTTTGGGAGGCTGGAACGGGTAGATCATGAGGTCAGGAGTTTGAGACCAGCCTGGCCAACATGGTGAAACCCTGTCTCTACTAAAAACACAAAAAATTAGCCGGGCATGGTGGCAGGCACCTGTAATCATAGCTACTCGGGAGGCTGAGGCAGGAGAATCGTTTGAATCTGGGGAGCAGAGGTTACAGTGAGCCAAGACCACACCACTTAACTCCAGCCTGGGCAACAGAGTAAGGCTCTGTCTCAAAAAGAAAGCCGGGTGGGGGGCGGGAAGAAAGAAATTGGTTTGAAGGGATTTCTACAAGATATTTGAGTAGAGGAACACAGAGGAGGACTACAAGGCAATTTTCCTTTTTAACACCAATAGTGACCAAAAAAAAAACCCATATAAATGTATATTTATATATGTTGTTAAGAATAACAACATAAGCACAGAGAAAAATCCAAGCTAATTATAGGAGTTACCTGGGAAGTCATCGGTGAAATGGAAAGTGAGAGAAGGGGAGGGCAAATTAGAAGGAAAAAAGTACTGCACTTAAAAAACAAAAATGTGTTATAATCCCATTTATGTAAAATGATACCTATGTATGTAATGATACATTTGAAATTAGTCTACAGACCTATAGGCAAGTTTAAAAATATAAATTTCAGGGCAGTGTGTAATAGGATACTGTTTAACTAAAAACAAACTCAAATGCCTGTTGTACATGCATACATGCTGGGGAATGTGAGTCTGTCTTTTGGACACCTCAGGGTATGGGGCCGAAGGGTGGGAGTGGTCAGGAGATGGTTGGCCTTTTCTTCATCACCCTGATTGGGAGGGAGTAGATGAGAGAGAAACTGTTTTAACTGTACCCCTTGGCTGGTCTGAGAAAGAGAATGAACATCTCTTTAAAATAAACCCTGGCTGGGCACAGTGGCCCATTCATGCCTGTCATCCCAGCATTTTAGGAAGCTGAGGTGGAAGGATCACTTGAGCCCAGGAGTTCAAGACTGCAGTGAGCTATGATCACGCCACTGCGCTTGAGCTTGGGTGACAGAGTGAGACCTTTCTCTATTGAAAAAATAAGAGTAATAATAAACCCTGGCAATGCCGAATATATTTTTTAATTATGGAGTTCATGGAAAATAAACTTTGCATCTATTTTAACTTGACTACAGTTTGTATTGGTATTCAAAACTACAAGGTCTCCAGAAAATTCTGTGTCTACTCATTTCCAACTCAATATTACATTTTTTTCATGGCCTCCAAGATAAGACCATTATTGAGATGTAAATTGTAGGGCTGCAGAAACCTGGGCAGCTGGCATGAATGTATTCTGGGTTCTTTTCTACTCCTCCCCTCTCTCAGCACATGACGGGATCGTGATTAAGATTGAGGTACAGACCAACGACGAGGGCTCAGAAAGTTTGGAGACACCCGAGCCCCTGATGGGACAGGTGGAAGAGCACGGCTTTCAGGACTCAGAGCTGGGTGACCCCTGTGGGGAACAGCCAGACCTGGACATGCAGGAGCCAGAGAACACGCTGGAGGAGTCTACAGAAGGCTCCAGCGAGTTCAGTGAACTGAAGCAGATGCTGGTGCAGCAGAGGAACTGCACAGGTGAGTGCTGGGTGGGGAGAGCTGGGGAAGTGTTGCCATGAGGCCTCCCTGAGGGCCCCTGACCCCTGGGAAAGCTGTGGTTTCTCCAAAGAGGTAGCTCAACACTGATGGGGCAGCAGGTGTGAAAGAATTACCAAGCACAGCCTCAGGTATAGGCTTCCTGACTCGGGACTTAATAAGAATCCATCTCCGACCTAAGAAAGAAGTGGTTACATCTAAAGACGGGTTCAGGCAAGGAATGAAAGGGATCTCAGAGATCATCTATCCCACCTCTCATTTTACAGGCAGAGGTCAAATAGATGGGCAAGGCCACACAGAGAGTGGCAAAGCTAGACCTCTCCCAACATGTCCTTGATCATCTTATGCCACCCTAGAAGCCTCAACTACCTTGAAGATTGCAGCCTTGGAGAGCATGGTTTTAAAATAACGATGGCAATGGCATTCTCTGGTCAAACCTAGTCTTCATTTTGTTTAATTATAAAACTTCATCATCACCGTGCTGCTAACTCTTGCTCCTTGTGAGTTCAAGAACAGTAAGGTGCTGGGGCTCATGGTGGCCTGATCCTAGGACGTCTTTTGTGATGGATTTTCTGATGTTGAGCCATCCTGGCAGGCCTGGGAAAAGCCCTACTTGATCATCATGATGTATTTTTTGAATTCACTATTGGACTTAGGTAATAAATATTTTACTCAAGTTAGACAACTGTATTCATAAAGGAAATGAACCTTTTCTTGAATTATTCTCATCTAGTTTTGGAAACAGTATTCTACTGGATGTATCAGATGAACCGGGCAGCTTTTGCTCTTGTTCTGTATTCTGAAACAAAATAGGAATTGTGTTCCTTGAAGAACTGGTAGAACCCACATGGACCTTTGTTTTTGTTTGGATGTTTTGTTTTTGTGAGTCATTCACCATTACATGTTTGTATAGTAATTTTATATTTAGAAATGTATCCACGTCCATTTATTTATGTTTTTAAAAGTACTATATTGATTTAAAATGTTTAAAAATTATCTGCAGATAATTCCTCTATAATTTGCCTTTTTGCATCTAATAAAATACCATGGACATCCCTCTTGGTCAAAAGGTATGAATCTAGGCCGAGAACAGTGGCTCATACCTGTAACCCCAGCACTTCGAGAAACAAAAGCAAGAGGACTGCTGGAGCCCAGGAGTTCACAGCCAGTGCAGGCAACACAGGGGGACATGATCTCTGCAAGAAATTAGAAAATTAGCCAGGCATGGTGGCGCATGCCTGTAGTCCCACCTCTTCAGGAGGCTGAGGTGGGAGGATTGGATGAAGCTGGGGTCTGAGGTGGGAGGATTGGATGAAGCTGGGGTCTGAGGTGGGAGGATTGGTTGAAGCTGGGGTTTGAGGTGCGAGGATTGGTTGAAGCTGAGAGGCTGAGGTGGGAGGATTGGTTGAAGCTGGGAGGCTGAGGCTGCAGTGAGCCATGATGGCATCACTGCACTCCAGACTGGGCGACACAGCAAGACCCTGTCTCAAAAATATGGACACGTATGGATCTAACATCTTATTTTTAAATAACTGCATGGTATTTCAGAAGTATTTTTGACATAACCATGTTGTCTTTTATAAAAGAATAGTGAAAAGATATAAGGCAAATTCTGAGTTTGTGCTAAATTGGGACCGTCATTGTATAAACTCGATTGCCTTTTTCACAGCCCCCATTAATTCTAGTAGAACTTTTAGAAAACTACTAAACAGTAGTTTGTGGAATTTTGAGTCTTGAGTTTTAGGGTTAAATGTTTGGTGTTTATCATTCCATTAAGAAAAAAGCACGTTTGGCCAGGCACAGTGGTTCACACCTATAATCCCAGCACTTTGGGAGGCTGAGGCGGG